ACCCCCCTCACCCCAGCCCCGGAGGGGAGGGATGAGCCCCCAGCGAAGGGACCGCCACCACTGTGCCCTAGTGTGGGGCAAAGACTGTGCAGAGCCCTTCTCTCCCCCAGGTGCTCCCAGGAGATGGTGGGCACAGAATTTGGGGCTGGCAGAGGAGACGTGGGGTTGATCGGGTGAGATAAAGGCAGATGAACCTGTGTCTCCCCACAACCTTGGTGCCCTTTGGCAGGGACTGAAGGTGGGAGAGTTGCTGGGGTCACCCAGGGAGGAGCTGGGGGATGCAGGACTCCCCTCCCCAGGTCTCTTGCACCCCCAGCACGTTGTCCTCTCGCCCTGCAGCCCAGGGCATCATCAGGACACCAAGGTCAAGGGCATGTTCCAGAAGGAGACCTCAGTGGGATATCAAACCCCAGGGCTGCTTTGAGGGGAACATGACATCATCGGGGCCACACTCCCCTCCAGCCACATCCTGTCCCTATGCCACCATCATGGGGCCCCGGGATGCCCTTGATGGGACCATCAGAAGTGACCTCATGCCGTGCAGCATGGCTCCGCTGGATTTACCCAAAAAAGCCCCCCCTGGCCCTCAGCCCGGTTCGGAGTGGGGAACAGCTGGGCACATCCCTCCCTTCTTCCCTCCCTCCTGGGTGCTGGGCACAGGTGGCTTCACTCCGGCCATTGTTCGGGGAGGACAAAGCCTGGGCACGAGCCTGGACAATGGCACCCGTGAGGACAAGGGCACCCGCAGTGACCCGACCCGCATGGGAGCAGCCTGGCACCGACAGCACCCAGGGGTGCTGCCTGCCATGGGAGTTGGGTGCGGGGTAACCACACATTCCCCCAGGATGGACACATCCCCCCTTTGCTTCCCACTGCGGGACACGCTCAGCTTCTCCTCTCTACAGGGATGCGGGGCTGAAAATGGGTATTTTGCAAAGGGAGCCGCTGTACCCCATCCTTGGGCATGGGGACACATGAAGCCCTCAGGTCCTTGGCCCTGGCACAGGGCTCTTCCCTTGATTTGGATTTTATTTGGACTGCCTGGGTTTGGGAAAAGGGAGGTGGCAGCTTTGCCATTTCCCTCTGGACCCTAAATCTGAAACGTAACCCGCCGAGCCCAAACTGGGTTGGAAAACTGGGGATTGCGTAAAGTGCACATTTCATGAGAGTCTAAGTCACCTGGTGACGTCGATCTTTTATATTGGAGTTTTTTTTATTTGTTTATTTGCTTTTTGGTTTTGGCTGGCGGCAGGTTGTGGTTTGGGTTCAAATGACGAGGGTAGATGGGCAGCCCGGGTACCCACGAGATGCTTTGTGGGAGGAAAAAACCCACCTGGTTGTTGGCTTTTTGTTTTTAACTTAAAACAGCTGCCTGGGCCGGCTCCTGCCTTTTGCTTTTTGTTCTGCCTCTTTCGTACCGTCCACACGGCAGAGGAG